AAATAGGCTCGATAAATAAAACTTTAGTGTCACAAATGTTTTTTTTTAAGGATTGGGGTAGAATCTTTAGTGGGATTAATAAGTGAACATAATCTAAGTTTTATATTTTCTACAGAAGTAGAGCAGTCATAGTATTATATTACTTCGCTTTACTGTATACCAAAACTTGAAGAAACCAATCGTCGTATTTACAGAAGGATCTATTAAAGTATTGATAAGTTACAAAAACAATCATTTAAGAGCCGTTATTGCAATGAAATAAGAGATTTTTATCATTCAAATATTTTCATCAATTGATATTCCACTGAATCTACATTAAAATTGACAGCAGTTGTAGAAAAAGAAATCCTACATGCCAAACAATTTATTTTCTATTTTCAAATCATCAAGAAGAAAATCCATTACACTCTATACGAACGCACCATCAATATCATTAGTTGTGTTATTCCGCAGTAAAAGTTTTCCAACCGCTTTAAAAGTTGATTTATTCGCATTATATTAAGGGAGCTACCATTTGATGTTTATTTGGGGGGGGGGGGGGGGATGAAATTTGTAAAAAATAGGCAAGACAGGAGTTTTGAGTAAAAAAGGCAGAATGAGACACTTTGCAAAAAAAAAATAAGGCAGGATGACAATTAATGTAAAAAAGGTCAGGATAAACTAAAAAAAAAAAAGGCAGGACCGAATAGAGTGAAAAATAAAAAGGCAGGACAGAGATTACAACTAAAAAAAATGCAGGACAAACCTTTTCATCCTAGCGGATCTTGTTCTTTCAGTTAAATGCAAAATATGAGCAAAACAACACAGATGTTCGCGAATTATTCCTTATAACACAAACAAAACAACCATCTTTTCTGGTCCAGTCCTGTTTATTTATATCCATTTTTTATGACAACTAAACGGAGCTTACATCTTATGTTGAGATAGATCAGGTACATGTATGTATTTAAATGAATTGTCATAAAAATAGGCTCGATAAATAAAACTTTAGTGTCACAAATGTTTTTTTTTTAAGGATTGGGGTAGAATCTTTAGTGGGATTAATAAATGAACATAATCTAAGTTTTATATTTTCTACAGAAGTAGAGCAGTCATAGTATTATTTTTCTTCGCTTTACTGTATACCAAAACTTGAAGAAACCAATCGTCATATTTACAGAAGGATCTATTAAAGTATTGATAAGTTACAAAAACAATCATTTCATAAGAGCCGTTATTGCAATGAAATAAGAGATTTTTATCATTCAAATATTTTCATCAATTGATATTCCACTGAATCTACATTAAAATTGACAGCAGTTGTAGAAAAAGAAATCCTACATGCCAAACAATTTATTTTCTATTTTCAAATCACCACGAAGAAAATCCATTACACTCTATACGAACGCACCATCAATATCATTAGTTGTGTTATTCCGCAGTAAAAGTTTTCCAACCGCTTTAAAAGTTGATTTATTCGCATTATATTAAGGGAGCTACCATTTGATGTTTATTGGGGGGGGGGGGGGGAGGGATGAAATTTGTAAAAAATAGGCAGGACAGGAGTTTTGAGTTTTGAGTAAAAAAGGCAGAATGAGACACTTTGCAAAAAAAAAAAAAAAAGGCAGGATGACAATTAATGTAAAAAAGTCAGGATAAACTAAAAAAAAAAGGCAGGACCGAATAGAGTGAAAAATAAAAAGGCAGGACAGAGGTTACAACTAATCCCCCCCCCCCCCCATAAAAATCAAATGGCAGCTCCCTAAATATCCATACCTAATTGCTTCCTTTAACTCTTTTTATCAAATGACGACATCATGGAGACGGTCAGGGTTACACAATATATATGGATCTGGGTGGGTGGGGTTTACCGGCAGAAAAATGGACAAAAAAAAAGAAAGAATAGAGAAAAATCGATCAAAAAAATAAACAATAGAAAATGATGTGGTGCTAGAATAAAGCACAGATTAATTATGATTGGCCGAAAAAAGGAACAAAATGACCTAACAATTAAAGAATTAAAAAATAAAGACCCCATCAAAACCTTTATATAAATATATCTGCACATAATCATGTCATTAAAAGACTTTCCTATAACGGTATGGATTTTTAAGGAGTCCCAAACTATTCTTTGCCCAACAGATGTTTTATTTTTATTTTACCAGGACTCGGTATTTAACAACTATCTTTAACTTATATCACTTTGAATTGCTACGAAAATACTATTTAAAAAAACGATACATTGTAAGGTACATGTCAATTTCAAACACTGGACTTCTGGGAAGAACCTGCGTAGTATGTATGCGCAAACACAATGTCATACTTGTGTTTTTAAATTTGATTTTGTTATGCAAAACAAACAGAAAATCTTTCTGAATTGAATAAAGAATTAGACTGTTGACAAAAAATAAAACATTTGAAATGATCTATGGCTAAAAGTCCGTCGAGATAGAATTGCGTAATAAAATAATTATTGTATGGATTCCTACAATCACAAATGCACTGTTATCACGGTACGTTTATGGCGAATACAATGACACAAAGTCTGTTCCTGATTCTGTAATCTAAAACGTTGCATTATTAAAATCTGCGTTACTAGGAACTAAACCCTTCAGATAAAGTTGATTTATTTCTCTAAACTTCTACATTGTTAGAAGATTATTAAAAATTATGTAGGCGTAGTACATTGCCTCCGTTATCTCTTAATGTATTTATGTCTATCGTATATATTTTTATGGAATATCAATGGAATTTATATACAATTGTAAATGGCATATTGTACTTTTAAGTGATAATTGCTGTTGTGATTCCCTGATTCGTCGTATATAATGACTTCAATCTCATTAAAACTACTGATGTTAATTTCATATACTTGTTATGGAAATTATTGGGTTAATATTAATGAAATATTGAATTTCTCTCGTGATATTAATAATATTAAAAGCTATTGTGATGTTACATAAATAATTTTGTTCTGTTTTTGAAATGTTAAAAGTCCTTCAAATATTAAATATTATATGATATTGAATGACCACTGCATTTCAAATGAGGTCTGATTGAAGCATTCAAAATTTAAGCTTTTTCATTTCAAGGGATGAACAATACCTTAACAGTACTATAAATTTAGTTTCAATGACTATAAAGTACTAAGACCTGATTAATGATATGATGTATAATGCTGCTCATTTATCTGATTAAATGGAGATGTTGGGTAAACATGAATGTGACAGCAACCCATAGACACAACAAAACACAACTAGATGTCAGGAAACAGTCATCAACAACTGACGGGTGTTTATACTAAAGCGTCGCCCTTAACCCCCCCCCCCCCCCTCCTCCTCCCCCCCCCCCCGATTAATAAAGATGTGAATACATTAAGCAGATACTATCAAAGATCTGCTGTCAACCAAAAAATACCCTAAAGCGACCAAAAAAAGAAGCTTAAGTTGGATGGAGAGTTGTCTCATTGGCACTCATACCACATCTTCTTATATCTATTTACTGCAGGGTTTGTTGCTCGTGCTGTGTGGATGCAGTAGAATGTGTCCCCGTGCTTGTGGTGTATGCCCTTATATTTTTCAATTATGGGTTGTTTGCCTGTGAGAGAGCTTTCACATGTCTATTATATCTTTGTTCTTAATTGTCAATTATATATTATGGTGTTTGGATGTATAAATACTCATCCACGCCTGATATTTGTATTATTGCCCCCTGCTATGGTTTTACTAAGATTTCTTACGATCTCTGTTTTGCCCTGTGTTTGTTATATGTCAGTATTGTAATACTTAAGTCTTTACGTCGGGCCTTTTATAACAGTTTTTGTAATAGTTTTTTTACTGCTTTGCCTTTTATTTCATATTCCGTAATTGTGATCATTTTTCATTGTTACAACCTCCGGTCTTTTTTATTTTTTTCCCGTTTGAATGGTTTTACACTAGTTTTGGGGCCCTTTATAGCTTACTGTTCGGTGTGAGCCAAGGCTCCGTGTTGAAGACCGTACTTTGACCTATAATGGTTTAATTTTATAAATTTTGACTTGGATGGAGAGTTGTCTCATTGGCACTCATACCACATCTTCTTATATCTACTTAAGACATGGCAAAAAACAAGTACTACAGAGGTTCCTGACGGGTACATACACATGTGGCGGCGTTAAACCAGTGTTTTAAACCTCTCTTCCCCCACACACAACTTTAGATTTCAATCATTGGACAAGCAAAAGTCAATAAGAGAAGATTGAATAAAAATCAGAACCCTTGCTACAACTTTTTGTTACGTTCGCAAGTGGCCTGTTGGAAGGCAACATTTTTGTCCTATCCAACATGCCTTCTTTATCCCAGTCCACAAACATACCTACTTGATTTATTGATAATTGTTTAATTTAGGTGTGAATGTATGGTAAACAAATAAAAACCAATCAATTAATATATATATATACATTGTATCAAGGTTAAAATCATTTCCGTAACATACTATATATAACATAGCATTCAACATTTTAAAAACATGATGTCTACTTTTGAGAACAGTCATAATTTTGTTTGCGTGATTATAGTTCAATATACGTTTTAGAGACCTTGAACCATATTCTAGAAAGGGCCCCTAGTTGACCTATTACAGAGCAAAATGTCTGCGTCTACCCAACATTCACTGATTAAAACATTAGAACCACAGCAAACTTACTGAGGGGACAAGTAGCGAAAAATACAACAACTAATATAAATATGTTGATAATTAAAATCCAATGGTATTTTAAAACTGCATGTAACAGAACGGTTTCTGAATCATTATAGTCTTTTACATCTAACCTTTTAGAGTATCCTTCTATTTGTACTCTATCTTCAAATTGACTTCACGTCAATTATTTTGTCTTCTTAATTACACTGGAAATTGTTGTTAAAATACTCGATCAATAGAAAAGTTCATAATTTAAATGTGTCTCCGGGATATATTTATTGCATGTTAGAGATTAGAATTTCACACATTTTAAATTGCATATTTTTTTTCTATTTTCAGTCGGTGGTGTGTAAAGATTGCATTAGTCAAAGTGAAATATTGAATCACTCCGTCAACGTCCGCAAGAGAAACGATCAAAAGAGAAGAGGAAAGAAGTAGTTCCTTGGATACAAATTAAATTGAGTACGTGATTAATCACTACAGGTCTCAAAGATCAACTACTACATTAATTTGTTTTCAGTCATAATGTTACATAGCTCCCTTAAGTATTTTATTAATAACGGAACAAATTCAAATATCAATGTTAGTGGTGAAATCTACATGCTTCATGAAACGAGTACTATGGGTAACTACGTAGCGTCCGTACAAGAAATTTCCGAACTGAAACAATTTGAGAATTTTTATAAACCTATTCATGGCTACTTAGCCGCATGTGTTTGTGTATTTGGAGTGCTGGCGAATATATTAAATATAGTTGTGTTGACGCGGAAGAATATGCTTACGTCAACAAACGTCATTTTAACTGGATTAGCAATTTCGGATGGACTAACAATGGCATTGTATTTTCCATGGGCATTAGGAATGTACATTATAAATGGTGTTGAAGCCCGACCGTCCAGGGATACGTACCAATTGGCTCAATTCCAAATGGCATATGCTATAATGAGCGTAATAGTGCATTCAGTATCGATTTGGCTGACCGTCACGCTTGCCGTCTTTCGATATGTTTTTATCAGATTTCCGCGCAGAGGTGTTCGACTTTGTAACATAGAACGGGCTAAAACGGCGTGCGGTATAGTGGTTGCGGCTGTCTTATTTGTATGCTTACCAAATTCACTAACCTACGAGATAGTTGGAGAATGGTATAATGTTACATTAACGGACGGAACCTACGTAAATGGAACGGTTTATTGGGTTGATGTGAAAAGTGCCACGGGATTTTGGGAAGTATTTAAAAATCTAAACTTCTGGATTCAGGCTATTTTTATAAAGCTGTTACCATGTTTTCTTCTAACAGTGTTCAGTCTGTTGCTACTTAAAACAATGAGAGACGCTGAGAAAAGACGTAAGCGACTACTTAATAAAGTTCCTTTGTCGGACGGTGAAAGTGGTGCTCTCAGCAGTGGAAGTAATACTGGTAAGAAAATAAAAAAGACAAGCAGAAGCAACAGAACAACTCGCATGTTGCTTACTGTGGTTTTCATGTTTATAATAACAAATACGCCACAGGGTATTCTTAGTGTCCTAAGCGGCCTTATAGATGAGTTTTTTCACAATGTGTACATGCCACTAGGAGATTTATTGGACATTATGACATTGCTAAATAATGGTATAAATTTTGTTTTGTATTGTACTATGAGTAAACAATTCCGTGAGACATTTATTAAAATATTTGTGAAAAATTCTATGGGCGCTAATAATGGTGTACGTAAAACTACCACGTATATAACGGCACAAGATACACAAGCTACGCGCGATTCTGATGTGTAAACCTTGCTTAATATTGTTTGTAGATATTGTATCATCATGACAGCAAATGTTATAAATCAAATAGTGCATGTTTCCCTTCTTTTTGGTCAAATTTTCAATAAAAGAAGTCATTACAAATGTATTAAAAAATGACTTACTAATAATAAGTATAATTATATTTTCATAGTTTCGTCGACTGATAGGGCAACCTTGCACTTATCAATTTACCTTTCCGAAAAAAAATATTAAGAAGAGTTTGAACCATATATCAATTAATTCAATATTGAATGAGTGTGTATGTGTGTGTGTATGGTTTGTGCTTGTACTCGTTGGAATATGTACCAAGCTTGTATTTACAACACTCCTAATTTTCATTTATTTTCATTAGCATCAGTGTATACACATTTTTTGTAAAATCTATGAATATTCAGAGAAAAAATGCATATTAATAGATGTGAATATTCAGAGAAAAAATAGCATATTGATAGATGTTATTAACAGAAAAGTAAATAATGGACCAAATAAATTAAGGATAGGGACAAATGGACCCCCAAACAATATAGAATAATGGGGTGCTCGAATAAAAAAGATTTAAGAATAATGGGGAATCAAAGAATTGAGAAAAAAATAGCTGGAAAAAAAGCGAATACAAAAATGACGACCCACCCCCTCCGGACCCCCTTGTATATGTTTGATTGTTGTTAATTAATATGCTTTTCTTTCCCTATTATTTTTAAAGCTATGTTAATGAAATAATAAAGTATATAAAAGTCGACAGGCTCAAAAACGTAACAAAAGTAAAAACCATATCTCTCAATACAGCCCTATATATCTTTGAAACTTTCCAGGTTACCCAAAACATTATTTAATTCATAAAATCAAAGATCTAGCCGGAAAATAGTTCAATAATCCCATGAGTTTGGACCGTATTAAGGGTTAAGGGTTATCCTTATAAGTGGTTATGAGTCTTTTGATATCCAAAATTAGGCATGGATTACAGACTTGTAGATTATTGTGCTAGTAAAAAGAGATATGGGATATACATCAATGAGCTAATAAGCAAACGATATTAACTTTTCTAGAATCGAGACGATTCAATGTGGGAAAAAAGGTTCAGACACCAAGATATTGTAGCCTCTGTTGTCTTTACTGTTGACATTTTGTTCCCTGCTACTATTTCATAGGCTTATATTCCCCATTTTTTTTTTACGTTCACTTACGAAAGTTATTTACCGCCAAAGTGGCCCCAAGGGAGCATGCTTGCTTCAAGTGAGATATACCGTTGGTTCGATCCCTTGCAGGTTTAAACCAAGACTGAAAAATGCTGCTTCTCTGCAAGGCACTTATAAATACGGAATAAGTGCATGCAAAGATTCATTGAGTCGGCTCGGAGGCAGAATAGTGTGTTCGGGTAGAGTTATACATGTAGGTCGTCCTATCAACTGATTCCTAGTGAATTAGAACATAAACGAAAAAACAACTCATCGTAAGGGTGTAGAACGAAGTAGGGTTCATATTCATTTCACATCGATACGTTCTCGTCCTGAAATGCCAGTAATATTTGCAACTGGACGTTAAACACAAACCCACTATGGTCATCATCCAAATACACATTTGCTTTTTGACCCGTTATTTCATTAAGCATATATGTATACTGTTTCATTGAAGATATTTAAATACGTTCTCGTCCTGAATTGACAGTAATACTTGCCACTGGACGTTAAACACCAACCCATCATCATCATCGTCATCATCCAACTAAACATTTGCATTTGTATCTGTTCTATTACATTGTTTCATTCAAGAAGACATTGACGGCAACTCTCGTTATGAGGTTGATGGCAAATTATTTATAATTCTAACATCATAATGATTACAATATTCTCAAGAGTGATGTCAGTTTCTAAATATTACAAAGGTTAATTAAGACGGTTTTAAATTATTTATCTCACAATCTCTGATTATATTGGTTTGCATTTGTGATTATACCTCATTATTAGAATTAGGAAATATGATCATTGGATTACTGTGTAACTCCACAAGGATCTTTCTTAATAGAATTGTTAATTGTTATCCCATAACAGTTATTTGAGAAAATTACTTTAATTGGAAATTAGAGATTTGAATACTCGTTGTTGTTTTGTGGTAATTTCTACTTATTTATTTGAATTGATTGTTGGTAGATTAACGTCCAGTGGCAAATAGTTCATGCATGTTCAGGACGAACTTATTTGTTTTATTTTTGGTGAGGCGTTACTGCTGTGCTCTTGCATGTTTTTATTTTTATTTTGGTTCATTTATATGTTTTGGAGTTTAGTGTGACGTCCATTTTCGCTGAACTAGTATACATTATTGTTTAGGGACCAGCTGAAGCCCACCTACGGTTGCAGGATTTTTCGCTGTGTTGAAGACCCATTGGTGGCCTAGCGCTTTTTTCTGCTCTTTGGTCGGATTGTTGTCTCTTTGACACATTCCCCGTTTCCATTCTCAATTTTATTTATCAAGGTACACTGTTCTAGTTTTGCTACACAGCCAAATAGGCAACAAATAGTACCATACATGAGGATGTGAATGGGGGTTTACAGAATAGAGAATAATGGGCAAAATATATAAAGAATAGAGAAAAATGGACCAAAATAATAAAGAATAGAGAATAATGAGGTGCTAAAAAAAATAATAGAGAATAATGGGCAAAAAGTATAAAGAATAGAGAAAAATGGCCTAAAAAATTAAAGAATACAGAAAGGAAAGACCCCTCATCTAGAACCTCAAACATAATAACGAGTAATACTTGTAATCAAAGATACGCTAATCAACAAAGTTGTCTTTTTTTTCATTATTTTTTTTTTCATTATCTTTTTTTTTCATTATTTTTTTTTCATTATCTTTTTTTAAATTCATTTTTATCTATTTTTTCTCGATGGATGATTACAAGACACAACTATTTTACCGACAAAACTATTAATAAATCTTACCTACATCGTTCGATAAAATTAGCTTATCTCGTTTAGAAAAGACTTCGTTGGCTATTAACGCTAAATTTGCACATATATACAACTTTTTTATTTTCTTACCAAGGTGAGTTTTTATAACGTATGACTATTTTCTGATAAAATCTAAACATTCCTGTTTGTTTACCCATTGTCTATATTTGCATTTTATTTAAAGCATGTTTGAAAAAAGATAAACTGTAAAAATGTGATTAAACAAAATATATAACACTGTATTATAGTATATATTTATCTAAATAAATGTTGTTACAATCTAGTATCTTTCATATTTCAAACGCCTGAATTGTACATTTAAGTAATGCAAACGTTGAATTGACATAAACAGATAAAAGATCACAATACGTTTTTATTCAGAACAGCAATAAAAAGTGAAATCACAAAAATACCGAATTCCAAAGAAAATTCAAAATGGAAAGTCCTTTAACAAATGACAAAAATCAGAAGCTCAAACACATCAAACGAATGGAAAACAACTGTCATATTTCTGACATATGATTTGTAATCCCAATAATATATCAAACATGTTTACCACAGATGTTGGACAGACCATTCGGCACGCCTCGACATATCTAAGACCGCAGGACAGCGGAATCTGCCGATGTTTGCCGATTGAACAACAGACCACACTAACCACGAACACCCGACTCATCTGCATGCACACAAGGAATAACACACGACCCAGATAGTATGATAATGTACAGACGCGACATTCGATGGGACTAAACAAGTTTTACGTGCGCACAAATACCTATACTACTAAAATAACGAGGTCCAATTTGTTAGCTGGTATGACGTAAAAACGACGAATCAAAGAATTCAACTTTATTATAACTAAAATACAACAATTATGTTGATTAAAAATTACTCTATTCCAGGCCCTTTTGTTTTCCACATAATTAATATTACCAATAATTAACAAGTTCCGGATCGAATCTGATACCGATACATGTACTAATAGTATATGCCACATGTAGTTTCCGGTTGTAGTAAGAAAACCAGGACGGGTTCAAACAGAAAGATTGTGTAAGCAGACTGTGCACCTTATAATCAGCATGACTTTATCAGATGACAATACGAATACTTAAAACCCAGACTAATAATTAGGCGTAGATACTTTAATTCATTCATGGACCCCCGATGTCGCGGATGTGTTCTAGTAAGGATAAAGGAAATATTATGTGATTCCAATGCGACAACTATACACCAAATTTCAAATGACGATGTAAGCAATTATAGGTCACCGTAGACTTTCAAAAGAGAGGCGAAAAATACCAAGAGGACATTCAAACTCATAAGTCGAAAATAAACAACATGACTAAAAAAGAAAAAAACCAACAGAAAAACAACAGTACACAAAATACAACATAGAAAACTAAAAACTGAGCAACACGAACCCCACTGAAAACTGCGGGTGATCTCAGGTGCTTCGGAAGGGTAAGCAGATCCTGCTCAACATGTGGCATCCGTCGTGTTGCTTATGTTTGTACAAACCCGGTAATAAGTCTAAATCGGTAGGTCACATTCGGGGAAAAGGGGACGTGATTGTAGTTACGACATTTGGTGGAACATATCCGCTATAATCTTTGAATATTTTTTTCAACAATGAAAAAAAAAACGTATACTGTATAGTAAGCTATAAAAAGGGACCCACTTGAAAAATGTGAACCAATTCAAACGAGAAAACTAACAGCCTAATCTATAACAAAACAATTTAAGAAAAAAACATATGACAGACATAAACCAACGCAAACCACTGAATTACAGGCTCCTGACTTAGGACAGGCACATGTTTGTGAGCACATAAACCTCCTTTGCGTACCTAAACCATATGTTTTACATTTTGAAAAAGTAAAACACAAAACAAAAACCTGCACTGTGAAACTACAAACAAGATGACCACTACCTTTAACAAGTAAATAAAAACGACACGTATAATATTGAACCTATTCAAAAAGAATTAAGGGATACGAATGCACATAACAATAAAGACCAGAAACAGCTACGTGGACAAACAATGAAAACTCTAAACATATGCGAACAGAAAACGTCAACAGATTTTAAAGAATAATTCGGAACATGAAATTTCAAATTTAATACATGCAGTTTAAAATTCGAGATTCCAAATTAGGGATAATTGAGGATACACATGTGTACAACTGAAAATTAATACCCCCAGAATATCAACAATATTGTATTTGATTAATTCGGAATTGAAACCTGAAATGGGTAGATTAATTTACATATGATTTCATTATATTGTAGAATATTGGGATTGTGAAATGCTGTACGTTGTGATTTAGTTTTAATCTGCTATTGCATGGTGATTGGTTATATCTGAATTGACGCCTGGAATTTGTAAATCAGGTATACACATTGGTGTCATTGCAGAATAATTTAAAAGTATCATGATATGGTGTACTTTAATCTGCTACATCGTGGCGGTTTTTTATCGGAATTGTCGCCTGAATTGTGTAAGTCAAATATTCACATTGATGACATTGGAGAAAATGCATAAAGATTGTGACAACAGGTGCGAACAAGTTATAAATCTGTCTGGAACGAATAGACGTCTGGTCTTTTTAACACACAGTTTTCAATATTTTAATCTATATATATGTATCTGGTTTTTTTCGGTTTGAAAGTTCAAGTTGAAAGTATATCCAGAAAAGCGCTTATATTGAATTTTTGTTAAATTTGTAAATTTATTAAGTATTCACCTTATTTTGTTTTGTTTGCACTGGGCAATACCGCTGCTGGTGTAC